CTCACGCTCTCGGTGGCTTTGAGGTCCAGGCTGGGCAGGGGAGGAAGGCTGACCACGGTCTTCCTCCGGATCCCACCATAACAGTACGTGGGGACGGGTTAAGGATTGCCCTGACCCCAAAAAAATGGGAACTGAACCCTTGGGAATGGGGAAAAAATGGGAATTGACCCTTGGGAATGGGGGAAAAACGGGAATGGGGTAAAAATGGGAATGGGGAAAGAACGGGAACTGAATCCTTGGGGATGGGGGAAAAGTGGGGATGGGGAAAAACTGGGAACTGACCCCTGGGTAACAGGGAAAACATGAGAATGGGGAAAAAATGGGAATTGGGAAAAACCAGGAACGGGGAAAAAATGGGAACTGACCCCTGGGGAAATTGGGAAAAAATGGGAACTGACCCTTTAGGGATGGGGGAAAAACGGGAATGGGGTAAAAATGGGAATGGGGAAAAAACGGGAACTGAATCCTTGGGGATGGGGAAAATCCGGGGATAGGGAAAAACTGGGGATGGGGAAGAAACAGGAATGGGGAAAAAATGGGAACTGACCCGTCAGGGATGGGGAAAAATGGAGAATTGAACTCTTGGGAATGGGGAAAAACCGGGAACAGGGAAAAACGGGAATTGACCCCCTCGGGAATGGGAAAAACTGGGAATTCAACCCTCGGGAATGGGGAAAAATCCAGGGAAAATGCCAGGAAGGATATTTGGACTGTCCGCGGCCGCCCAGGCGCCGGGCTTTGATGTTGGGGAAGATTTCCCGGATGATTTTCCCGAAGTTGGCCGTGCTCAGCGGGCGGCTCCCGAGGTTGTCGCAGTAACGCCTGCGGGGACGGGACAGCGGATCCAGAGGGGGAATTCCGGGATAATCCCCAGGAATTCTGGGGTTTCCAGGTCATAGGAATCCCCAGGATATTCCTGAGGAATCCCGGCACTCCCAGGATATTCCCAAGGAATCCCCAGGATATTCTATTCCCAGGATATTCCATTCCCAGGGTATTCCCAGGACATTCCCAGGATATTCCCAAAGAATTCCCAGGATATTCCCGAGGAATCCTGATACTCTCAGGATATTCTGTTCCCAGGACATTCCCAAGCAATTCCCAGGATATTCCCAAGCAATTCCCAGGATATCCCCGAGGAATCCGAGGACATTCCCAAGCAATTCCTAGGATATTCCTGAGGAATTCCCAGGGTATTCCCAGGATAATCCCATGATATTCCCAGGATATTCCCAAGCAATTCCCAGGATATTCCCAGGACATTCCCGAGGAATCTCAGGACATCCCCAAGGAATTCCCAGGATATTCCCAAAGAATCCCAGCACTCCCAGGATACTCCTGAGGAATCCCAGGATATTCCCAAGGAATTTCTGGGGAATCCCGGCACTCCCAGGACATTCTCGAGGAATCCCAGGACATTCCCAGGACATTCCCAGGACATTCCCAAGGAATCCCAGGACATTCCCAAGCAATTCCCATGATATTCCCAAGGAATCCCCAGGATATTCCCAGGACATTCCGAAGGAATTCCCAGGACATTCCCAGGGTATTCCCAAGCAATTCCTCGGGTATTCCTGAGGAATCCCGGCACTCCCAGGATATTCCCAAGATATTTCCATGATATTCCCAAGGCATCCCAGGATATTCCCAGGATATTCCCAGGATAATCCCAGGACATTCCCAGGATATTCCCAGGACACTCCCAAGGAATTTCCAGGATATTCCCAAGGAATTCCCACGATATTCCCAGAACATTCTGAAGCAATTCCCAGGATATTCCCAGGATATTCCTGAGGAATCCCAGGACATTCCCCGGATATTGCCAAGGAATCCTGGCACTCCCAGGACATTCCCGAGGAACTCCCAGGACATTCCCAGGGTATTCCAAAGGAATTCCCTTGACATTCCCAGGATATTCTGGAAGAGTCGTGGCACTCCCAGGACATTCCCAAGGAATCCCAGAATATTCCATTCCCAGGATACTCCTGAGGAATCCCGGCACTCCCAGGACATTCCCAGGATATTCCCAAGAAATCCCAGGACATTCCCAGGACATTCCCAGGATATTCCCAGGATATTCCTGGCATATTCCCGAGGAATCCTGACACTCCCAAGATATTCCCAAGGAATTCCCGGATATTCCCGAGGATTCCCAGCTCCCCTCGCTCACTTGTAGGCGTCGTACACGTCCTGTTTGGGCAGGCAGGTGTCCGTGTGCTCCTCCAGGTGGTTGCGGATCCACCCGCACGCCTGAACCGCCTC